CTTTACCAGAAATTATATGTACCCTATTTTATTTGATTAATGCACATTATATGAAAACCGTTATTAAACTTGGCGTTTATAAAACCGAGATACTGAAAAATTATTAACAGATTACGTTAACGTCGACAATAGTCTGTACAAATCAGTTTTATAGAATAATATTTTTATAATTTATCTACCTATAAAGCTACAATGGGGACCTTAAAGTACAAAATGGCGGTATAGACGAAAAAAATTGAGTGTCATGTATATCAGTGAACATGTTTTTCAAAATCAAGTTGATACTTCTAGACGATTTTACGAGGGTGGATTGATAAGTTTCCGGCCTAACCAAGAGATGACGCCACTAGGCCTACCTTGAGGTGACATTCTATAGTACCATCCTTGGATAGCTTGTAGCTATAGTTTCAGCCCGATCTCCTTGCNGATACTTCTAGACGATTTTACAGCCATAGTTCCGTTTAGGAACTGTACAAGCCGACCGTTGTGTAGGTAGTATCTCTAGACTCAAAAACTAATAAAACTAAGTGGTCGTCAATAAAAAGCCAATTAAAAATTCGTCTGCGTAGAAAGCAAACTCAATCAAATATGATAAATAGTTGCAGTCGAATGCATAATACATGTAGCAGGAGTCATGCCCCCTACTGTTTTTAACCCCTGACACAAAAAAAACAGTGTTTGTAGCTCCTAACAGAGCAAACTCCCAGAGCCGTCAGGCATTATTTATTTTCTGAGTAACAAAACGGGTGGGATATAGCTATATAGCTAAAGGCACAGAAAAACACTACTCCCTATTCCTAAAGTCTGAGTGCCGAATTTTACATTATGTTTTTTTATATTGAATATTGTTAAAAATTAATAATCAACACTGCTGGACAAGTTTCAATATTCGCAAAAAACAATCGTAACTTTAGTTATAATTTGAGTCTTCATTTTTACAAATGATACTTAGGGAATACTTTCTGTAAGCAAACAAACCAATTGTAGTAACATTTAAGTGACAAACATTATCCAATCTCATTAAATTAAAAAGCAATTTCTAAATCAAAATCCGTGTTTCAAATAACTCTTATGTGAAAGTCTGTTCTTATAACAAAACCTAAAAGATAAAAGTAACAGTTGACCTTTATATCTCAGATCGTATTAGGCGAAAAATTTGAAAGTAATTATCGTGTGCAAAAACAAATACCCATCGATTCGCAACTTAATGCACTAGGTAAAAACAAAATACCTATGTATACGTAAATAAAAACATTATCTAGATAAAATGAAAAGATAACGGTACATTTTTGGTAAAAGAGAAATTAAAAAGGAATGTTAAAAGAGGTTAAACATTTACGTGTCTTAATCAGCAAGTAACATGACAAAATACTCATTTAGCCTGAAACGAAAGATGTGCTAGGAGACATAGTAGAAGTGAAACTTCAACGGACAAGTCGACAAACGAATGGCAACGGACAAGTGGACAAATGAATCGCAACAAAATTTTTACTTCAAGTTTTACGGGCAGATTGTTAATGTACTTGTCCAAATTGAAAACCTGCTCGTAAAACTTAAAGTAAAAATTTTGTTGCCATTCGTTTTTCAACTTGTCTGTTGAAGTTTCATTTCTACTATGTGTCCCAGCAGACATTTCGTTTTCACAGGTTTACTGCAAATTATGATTTGGTTTTTACACAGACCGCAAACAGAGGCAATAATGCTCTGCCACGTGGAGAGCAGAGGTAAGAAAACAACAGCTGAGCACAGCACCCGCCGCCGGGACTCTAGAGGACTCCCTGCTCTCTGCGCGGCTGCGCATTATATCCATCTAATACAGCCATTGCCCTCTTTCCGCCACTGCCGCCCCTCACCCCGCGATGGGGGTTGACGTTATACCCCCTCCATGCGGCCGTAACGCTTTTTCGTAACAGGAAAAATCGTAATAACCCCCTTCTATATAAAAGTTTAATTTTTAAAAAAATTATTTTTTAGCTATCTTCCCTGCGGTTAGGTTTTTTTACTTACCGTCGTAGAAAGCTCATTGGTCCTTATTTAGGAATGAAATGTTATTTTAGACGATTTTTTCGTTTATTACACCAAAAAAAAAAAAGTTTCGGTCATATTAATAAATGCCATACATTGGCTAATATTACATGGAGACAAGGAATTTATTTATTTATCCAATGTAAAAGGTTTATTATTTGTGACCTAATAATAAAAGCACACCAAACGATTGACATGACAAATTAACATGAATGCAAAGGGAAAAATTGTTCCGATTCATGAATTTCAATTACAATATGTAATTACGGCTCACGGGTAATGTTATGGTTAATTTAAAAATGGGCAGTACAAGGCTGTCCATAGATAAAACGTAGAAAACATTACAAATGTATCATTATACTTAATGACCTTATGTGGTTAATTTTACGGTTAGTTCTCTTAAAACACAGAAATAAAACAATTGTTACCTAAGTAACTTCTTTATCTAAATATTGAAAACTTGCATGTGATCATATTATATTATAGATAGATCACGTTCTGCCATGTCAGTATTGACAACTCCTCTCAATATGCACACAACATTATGCATAAAATAGACAGATGAGATTAAGATAGCATCTTATTTTGTTTGAAAAATCACGATCCAATCAGAAACAAGATGCTCGTATGTGATTAAGAGCAAGATCAATAAGAATAAGTTGAGAAACTTGTCTTTTCATGACTGCATGCTCAATATTTTGAGTGTATCTGGTTTTTAGTTTTGTGATATCTAAAATAGAGCCAATGTATCGCCAAAAAGATCATTACGGCTGTTCATTTTCGAACTTGAACCGAGTTATTATCTGAATCGTGATGGTATAATCTATTTGAAGAACCAAAACCTCTACAATTCTTCATAAATCTTGAGATAAATCCTCAAAATCCGCTTGCTATTCTGAATTATGTATGTGAATGACATGACATAAGATATGTGAGACCTTTCCAAATGCATCTCTATCTTCTACCAGAAGAAGCAATTTATTTTCAAAACCAAGTGCTTCTTCCAGTAATGAAAATGCAGTGTTTCCTTTTCCTTGAAGCTTCAGATTTAGTTCGTTGAGATGCATTGTAACGTCAGTCATAAAGTGCAAGTTTTTTTTAGGTATACGATTGTGCTGCATGTCTGTCTTCAAGAGCTGCAATAGTCGTTTGAAAGAGGAATTGTTTTTGCCGACCCCTGAACTAGAGGAATCACTCCTGTACTGTATTAAGCACAGTTTTGCTTTTAACACACAGATGGCGGTAATAACTTTTCAATAATTATTAGTTACAAACTGATTCATATATATTATTATTATTGTTATATTAATTATATTTTTTATAGTTACACTGTAACTGTACGAGTAAAATTCTTATTAAAGACACTACCTTTTGCAGTAGTTTTATTTCCGAATAACAAGTTCATTGAACGCATCGTTAGAAAAAAAAAATGTAATAAAGGAGAGTGTTGTGTAGTTATTCACCCGCATCTTACTATGTTCAACTCAGTAAGCATGATTTTATGCGTAATGCCTCACAATATAGATAATTACACATTTCTAATAATAATTATGTGGTACCCATTACGACCGTCGGGAATTGTTAACTTCTTGGAACGTAGTGTAACGTAGATGTACTGAAGTATAGACAGTAAAATTACTTTCGCATATTTCTCTACATAAATATATGCATGTATATTAAAACAAATTTACTATACTTCGTATAGTTTCTGTAGCGATGTGACCTTCAGTTTGACCGGCGCAAAGTAGAAAAGAACAGCACTAGGCCAGAAAAGAAAGCAGACAACTCTCGGCCAAGCTCTTAACCGGTGAGGAGCGTATAATCCGTACAGTACTGCACGGAAAAATTGACCATTTTATCCCTTACAATTTCATTGCTCAAATGTGCTGTTATTGGTACCATTTACTACTGAAAATATCAACGAGATGTTTATTTATATTTGAAGACATATTAAAGGCTTTAACGCTTGTTTTCGACTCGCACTACTATTCATGATTGAACAAAACTTTTGGCAGGTACTGTATGAAAAAGTATGTTTAATGAACAAGAGTCGGGAGTATAATGAGCTTTTTTCTCCCTACCTACGATTTTGCCATCGCGCATCCAAGACATTGGAAGAGGCTCATCGCTACAGAAAGTAAATGAAATATACCAAATATATATAAGAAACATATACATAGTGAGTGCCGATTTCGAGGTGGGGGGAGAGATCGGGCGGCGTCATTATCCGGTACCCGGCCGGAACCTAAAAAAGGGTCGGATCCGCCGCAGCGTATCGGATCCAAACCGGGTACCCGGTCCATTTTTCGTATTAAGTGCTATCTGCCATCGATAAAGGTACCCACCGTTCAAATTTGATAGGGCAAAGTTGGTTTAATAAATAAATTGATATATGAAGATTGGAAAAACTTTGGCGGTTGTTGTAGAACAAACAGAATAGCTCAAAACCCCAACGCCAAAACACGACACTGTAGTTGTCCGAAGCACTTTTCGGTAACAAAGTTACCTTCTTCAGGGACTGAAGTAAACTCACGTGAGTTGAAGAAGGTAACTTTGTTACCGAAAAGTGCTTCGGACAACTACAGTGTCTTGTTTTGGCGTTGGGGTTTTGAGCTATTCTGTTTGTTCTAAAATAAATTGATAGTTTCTTTAAATATTGACAATTTTGTTTACAAGGGGGGCTCTGGCTGAGCAAAAATTACCGAGGAGCATAAATATTTTCGTATTTTCTGTCACCACAGCTTTCGAACACTCCTCACATAAAAAAAATTGTTACTCTTACCCCCCCCCTTTTCACTCCTCAATTTTCTCTTAATTCAAAAAGGCATAGTAATAATACTGGCTACCGAATTTCATGTTTCTGTGACAAACAAAACCCAAATGCCAAAATACATTCTTTCACTACTTTAGATATGTATATTACAGGATTGCAAAGCGCAAAAAGTATAAGTATATGAATGTAGTATGAGCCTTACCTCTTATACACCTTATGTAGTTGTTGAACTCTTTCTGTAATTTATTCGCTGCCAATTGTTGCCGATTAAAATTCTGCAAATGTTCATCAAAAATGTCGTCAGCAGTCCTATCAACCTTTCCCAAATTTTGTAGAATCTGTAACAAAAATTAGCAATGTAAATATAAAAGTATCTGTTATATTTTATTCATTTGAAAAGAACCGCCCAACTATAGGGTAGGTACTATTACATTTATTATTATTATTATAATTGTAACTCTATTCTTAATTAAAATCGTAGATTCGGACCCCCCTCTTCCCATTGGAAAATTGAGGGCTTACCCCTAATTGTTAAAGAAATATTGATGATAACAATGAATCACAAAAATGCTTGATACCTAGGCGTCTTTATGAGCTTCATAAACAAATGACTAGGCTCACTTTTGTTAAAATATTTCTACAGGGTGACAATAAGAGTGTATTTTTTTGTAGGCGACGCCTGACGGAATGACCCCAGAAGAACATTACCTGATATTATCAATTGATCAATTTTTGTGTAGGTTTTTCTTGGCTGATGATATAAAGCAGAGGATAGCCCAAGGTTATGTCGCCTTCAATAAAAAGAAGTCACTTCTAGGCTCGCAAACGGTTAATTTAAAAATTCGAAGAAAGTTGTTAAAGGTGTATGTTTGGAGCGCGGCGTTGTACGGGTGCGAAACATGGACAGTGAACGCGGCGGAAAAGGTTAGAACAAGGTGTTATAGGCGGATGATGAGGATATCGTGGGTAGAAAAGGTTAGAAATGAAGAGGTATTGGAAAGAATAGGAGAACAGAGGACTCTATGGAAGTCAATAAAAAATAGGCGAGATAGGTTGGTAGGACACCTTCTCAGGCATGAAGGTCTAGTCAGAGACATATTAGAGGTAGAAACAGGAGTTAGGAGGGGTAGAGGTAGACCTAGATTAGATTACTCTTCGCAAATAGTTAAGGATGTGGGCTGTTCTAGTTTTAGGGAAATGCGAAGTTTAGCTCAGAATAGGAAAGAGTGGAAGTACGTGTCCAACCAGTCTAAAGACTGATGACCTTATGATGATGATGAGATCGTTTAAGTAAATGCTACATCATCGTCATCGTCATCACCATAATCATCATCGTAAGGTCGTCAGTCCTAAAACTGGTTTCATAACCTAAGCTAATCTTAGCATTTCTCTAAAAATAAAACATCCTACATCCGTAACTGCTTGTGAGCAGTAATCTAATCTGGGTCTACCTCTTTTTCTTAGCTCCTGTTTTTGCTTCTGATGTGTCTCTAACTAGCCCTTCATTTCGAGAAGATGGAGCTTTTCTATCCAACGTGCTACTTGACCTTTAGGACTCTTGAAATTTAACAATCATTTTAAAGCGGTATGGCTAGTTTGGAACAACAGCTTTCTCTCATAAAGGTACATGTACATGCTGAAATATCCGATGACTTTTTCTTCTCCATTTTGTATTTGAGAGAGCACCACGCATATCCTGCTGATTGCTTACGTCGATGTCCAAAACAAATTTCCCAGCTAGTAGAGGATAACTAAACACAATTGTGGAAGCGAGTACTTGTTTTAATTTCTCGAATACAGCTTGACAATCCGGCTTCTAGCAGAATCGTCTACAAAGTTCAAGGAAGCTTGATGTGAGTTGGTAGGGACTGACCACTATTGCACTGGTCTCATCTTCTTGAAACAACTCACATTTCTTGAGGCTCAGTTTCACAATGATATCCCAAAGTCTTCGGGATTTCTGTTACCGGAAAAGTATGAAATCCGTCGTTGTATACAATTCCTAGGAAATGTATATGATTCCTGAAATCGTCCGGAACTGTGTGAAATAAATTATATTAGACACGTTTTCTAGGAAATCTATACATTTCCTAAATAGCCATCGGAAATGTATTACAGGCAGGGGCGCAACAAGGAGGGGGGGGTCCGCCCACTCGATTAGGTTGGGCACCCACTCGATTTGGATTGGACACCCAGTCAATTCACGTAATAAACTAATTCAAAAATTCGGTTCAAATAGTTCAAGCTTGTCGAAATGACCTTTTTAGTCATTATTATGAACCGAAAACTCAACTCAGCCTAATCAATTTTTCGATTTCGTCATTGTTCGGTTAGGGGGACAGACTGGACTTGTTTCAAGGTTATAAGCGTTCGAAATGTGGTGCTACCGGCGAATGATGAGGATACCATGGATAGAGAAGGTATGACGACGTATTAGAAAGAATAGGAGAACAAAGGACTATNCAAAGTTCAAGGAAGCTTGATGTGAGTTGGTAGGGACTGACCACTATTGCACTGCTCTCATCTTCTTGAAACAACTCACATTTCTTGAGGTTCAGTTTCACAATGACATCCCAAAGTCTTCGGGATTTCTGTTACCGGAAAAGTATGAAATCCGTCGTTGTATACAATTCCTAGGAAATGTATATGATTCCTGAAATCGTCCGGAACTGTGTGAAATAAATTATATTAGACACGTTTTCTAGGAAATCTATACATTTCCTAAATAGCCATCGGAAATGTATTACAGGCAGGGGCGCAACAAGGAGGGGGGGGTCCGCCCACTCGATTAGGTTGGGCACCCACTCGATTTGGATTGGACACCCAGTCAATTCACGTAATAAACTAATTCAAAAATTCGGTTCAAATAGTTCAAGCTTGTCGAATGACCTTTTTAGTCATTATTATGAACCGAAAACTCAACTCAGCCTAATCAATTTTTCGATTTCGTCATTGTTCGGTTAGGGGGACAGACTGGACTTGTTTCAAGGTTATAAGCGTTCGAAATGTGGTGCTACCGGCGAATGATGAGGATACCATGGATAGAGAAGGTATGACGACGTATTAGAAAGAATAGGAGAACAAAGGACTATATGGAAGTCAACAAAAAATAGGCGAGATAGCTTGGTTGGTAACCTTCTGAGGCATGGAGGTCTAGTCTGAGACGTATTAGAGGCAGAAACAGGAGTTAAGAGGAGTAGAGGTAGACCTGGATTAGATTTCTGTTCGCAAATAGTTAAGGATGTGGAATGTTCTAGGTTTAGGGAAATGCGAAGATTAGCTCAGGATAGGAAGGAGTGGAGATGCGTATCCAACCAATCTTAGGACTGACGACCTTATGATGATGATGAGACCTTTATTAAAACTAAGGACGTTCATATAACGAATTTCAAACCCCTTGAACGAGAATAACAATTGGCCTGTGTAATCAATTGCGTTACTTAAAATATTAATTTATTTATATGTTCTTTTGATAGGACATCTGTTTCTAATAACCATACTGCGGTGATTATAAACAGGAAGAAATCACGCTGAGTTCTACAAACAAATAACTAATAATGATATACTATGTGCGTTATTTATAATCGGATGAAACAGATTCTCTTCTGCGTAATCCTATTAAAAATAAAAATGCAATACATCAAAATCGCACACGATGGAGTTCAGTAATCGTTTACCAATTTTTTGACCTAATTACTTAACTGTTTATGTATGTATGTCGTTTTAACTAACAGAAGGTAATCAGTCAAATAACCTTTAAACCTTTTCCCAATGTTTAGGTACTGAGTCTTCTTTTGAAATGGAAAACGGTAGAGGGGTAGATAATAATGTTCTACATTTCTATATAAACAGTTCTAGCATTTATCCTTTTGTGGAGGTTATGGAATTACCTAAAACTATTACGACAAATTACGTCTAACTATAGGATGGAATTATGTCTTAAGCCTACTGTTGATATCCAAGATTCTGTCGAATTTTTAACGCTAAATTCTCTTATTATACTTTTAATAAAAAAATGTTTTTATAAAGGTGGTCATAGAGGGTATAAACAGAAAATGTTTTCAGTCATATAGGGTGCATCATTTTTTTGATCGCCACCTAAATTAGCTATTTTTAATTAAACACCCTGTATATTTTTATATTTTTCGTTTCTCTATTTAATTTTAGGTCGATTTGTTAACAGTTCCCTGTGATTATCTCTACTAGTTTTTGAGATATTCAACTGTTTTTGAAAAAAATCGTATTATTATATCAATAAAAAGGGCTTTTAACTTCGAAATGAATGGTATCATTTATAAAGGGTCAGTCCAGTTGAAAAAAGTTATTCGTCTCATAAGATTATCAAAAATAGATTTCGATATTTCCAGCATTGACTAACCTGCATGTTTTGCCCATAGAAGAAAAAAATATGATAATTCATGCTAAAACGAAATGACAAAACACTTGATTATTTTTTTTTATTAAAAGTATAATAACAGAGTCATGGACGAAACCGCCTTAAGTGGAACACCCTATATACAATGATCAAGCACACTGCCCAAATTTGGACGGGTTCAACTAGTACTAGAACAATACATCAAATTTGTGCGTATTAAAGTAAATTCTACGTCACCTTATTTATCTAGCCATCGCGTTTCATCAAACATCATTAGTGTATTTCCTTAGACCAGATTAAACAAGTTAAGAAAACAACGTAACAAGATGGTTTGTTTTTTTCAGTGATGTTACACACCTGGCCGCATGTTGTATTTAAGCAAATAAAATAACATACACACTGTGATATTAACACTGGTAGATCCGGTGCTTTAATTTTATAACCGACCGTCATAAAAATATCGGTGAAAAACAACTTTTTAAGTTTTTTTTCGTAATAAGGAAATATTTTACTTGGCTAGCTGAAGATAAAAATAGATACTATGTATGAATGATGATAACCAGCTTTTCACCATAGAAAAAATAAGTTGCAACGATTGTAAATCATTATAAATACATAGGACAGACGGCAAGATCATTCGAAGAAAAAATAAACGAACACGTTAAAAATTGTAAACATAATTTAGCATTCACGAACCATTTGAAACATAAGAAGTTTTATATTGTTATATAAGTATATATAAAAGGAAAAGAGTAAAAAATCAAATGTATCGCAAGTAATCGAAATAAAGTCGCATCTAATTTCCAACAATTATAAACCTAAAATTAAATGAAATAGAAAATGTACTTATAAAACCCTCCAATAGCTAACTCGTGAGGTGCAACAAACCCCACTTACAATTAATAATAATAGTGGCAATAATAGGTATACTTCATTTACTTTCTCTAGCGATGTGACCCTTCC